CACGTACAGCGTGCTGATGGTAGCTGGTATGGCTCTTGGGGTATTTGCTTCACCTACGCAGCGCTCTTCGCCCTCGAAAGTCTGGCCAGTGTCGGCGAGACATACGAAACGAGCGCCGACTCTCGTCGGGGCTGTGACTTCCTGATCGAGAAGCAGCGGGCCGATGGTGGCTGGGGCGAGTCATATCTTAGTAGCGCAACCCATCAGTATGTTCAGCACGAGAAGTCCCAGGTGTGTCAGACTGCCTGGTCTCTTCTTGGGCTTATGGAGGCGGGCTACCCGCACAAAGAACCGTTGGAGAGAGGCATTAGGCTATTGATGTCTCGCCAGCAGCAGAATGGCGAGTGGCTGCAAGAGGCGATTGAGGGTGTATTCAACCAGTCTTGGTAAGTCTAAACTGTTCCTGATCTTATTTTGGATTTGATTTATTGACATTCTTTCTAGCATGATTTCATATCCCAACTACAAGTTCTACTGGCCTATTCGTGCCTTGGGCTTGTATAGTAAGAAATTCGGAAATGCAGAGCTCGTGTAAACTATTAAGGGAAATAATGTCTCCCGCTTATGTACTTAATTAACAATGAATGGGTCTATTCATCTATTCAATTGACGTATTGACGCGCATAGTACTGCGTTTGTTATACAATCTCTTCCCCTTTCTCTCTCTCCTTTTTCTCCTTCTATTTCCCCCTTCATCTTCCCCTCATACACTCAATGTCACGTGATCTCTCCAAAATGATTGATCCACAGGAGCTTGGGCCAATGCGGCTCATTGCTCCCTTCACGCTCGATCTCACGTACAGTTTTTCTCCAGAGGTAGACATCGATACCATCATTATGAATGCTGCATCCCAGGGTGACAAGGCTTCTGCCGAATCCAAATACCCTGTTGCTATTGAGCACTACACCCACGCCCTGAGCGAGCTACCCCGCGCTCCGGCATACTACATCTCGCGATCAACTGCCTATTCGCGCCTCAAGCCCGCCGATGGTGGACCCAACTATCAGGCCGCACTCAACGATGCCGAAATTGCGCTCCAGCTCGCCAAAGAGCGTGGAAACCGTGAACTGATCCTCTCTGCTCAGATGCGCCGCGCCGTATCCCTCTACCAACTTGAGCGGTATGGAGATGCAGAATTTGTGTTTAACATCATTGCGAAGAAAACCAAGAGCGAGAAAGTCCCAGAGAATAAATCGGAGCAGGTCCAGGCTGCCATGGGAGGACCGGGATCCGGATGGGGAGGTCCCCGAAACAATTACAGCGCCCAGATGCCAATCTGGACCGCCAAACTTCAACGCAAGCTGGCAGAGTTGCCTAAGGATGATCCGAAGTGCACTGTGTCTGTTGCCGAGTTCCCATCTTCTACTTACGTTCCCACTGGAGATGAGGTGAAGGCTCAATGGAAGGCCCTCAAGGCTGGCAACAACGTGGAGGTGACCGGAGCCTCGCAGCAGCCTGAGCCTGAGCTATCGGGAGGTTCAACCCTATCTGCAACCGAGGCTGCTTTGGCTGGTCGAATCCAAAACTCAAACACCAGTGCTACGGCTACTCCTGCTGCCCAGGAGAAGGTTCGCCATGAGTGGTATCAGTCACAGGACTCCGTGGTTGTGACTCTTTATGTCAAGGGAATTCCACAGGACAGTGTCGTAGTCGAAATGGAAGAAGCTTTGGTATGTATTCTCCTGCCCGACCTTTTTTGGATTTGAAACTAATTCTGCAAAAGGTCTCGCTGCAATTCCCCCTCCCATCTGGCTCTGAATACGACTTCACCCTCGACCCGCTCTATGCAGCTATCAATCCCGCTGAATCCAAGGTTTCAGTCAAGGGCACTAAAATTGAACTCACTCTGCGAAAGAAGACAGCCGGCCAGAAATGGAGTGCTCTCGAAGGCTCAGCCACTAACCCCACTGAGATCACCGACCGTCCAGCCGCACAACAGGCGCCAGCTACCGCGGGCCCTTCTTACCCCACCTCGTCACGCCACGGAACCAAGGATTGGGACAAGGTAGCATCCTCACTCACTGGGAAGAAACAAAAGGACAAGGCAGGGGATGATGGAGATGCATCTGATGTATCAGATGGCGAAGGTGGTGATGCTGTCGACGGGTTCTTCAAGAAGCTGTATGCTGGCGCTGACCCGGAGACACGTCGGGCTATGATCAAGAGCTACACCGAAAGCCAGGGAACATCGCTGAGCACAAACTGGTCTGAGGTTGCAAAGGGGAAGGTGGAAGCTCACCCTGAATGATTTTTCACTTGCTGTTTTTCTCATTCCCATTGCTAAGCTGCATGTAGCGAGGTGTTTCTCAGGTATCACAACTATTTGTTGTGAAATATGTCTCAATTTACTAGCTCTTTCAAGCTATTGTATCAATCTTAGTTTTGAAAAGCAGGTAGTTCAATTCGTAAACTCCAATCACTTAGATATAAAAGCACCCTTCCAAACACCAATCAAATAGATATTCAATTCCAAACCCCAACTCCATCCTCGCCCAAACCTGCTCCCACTCTCTATGGGCACACCACAGTTGTCCCATCCCCAGAAAGCCGAATAGGACACCCACCTCCATCTTGCCGCCGCAAAGTAGCCACGACAGTCCCACCTATCAGCTTCAGGCAAACCTGAGCACCTTCTTCACTAGGCGGTTTCATGAAAGACTCCCCGTTATACACCTGCTCGAAGACACGAGTAGGCCGGATTCTCCGCATAGAGGACTTAATCTCCTGTCCTTTATTGGCGTTTTCCTGGGCGTACACAATCCACACATTCACATCCTTGTTGCCGAATAACCATTTGTTCTTTTCATAGATGTCACACAGACTGTGTACGGCAGGGATCTCCCTAAACCCGTCTGAGGAAGTGTTAGAGAGCAAAAAGCCTCCCTCGTTGACAATTGCCGTGACAGAGCATGTGCCGAGTTTATGAGCCTCGACGCCGTCTGGAAATTCGGCCCAGCTGCCCATTCCGGTGGTATCAGCATACACTGTCTTCTTTGTAGAGGACGGCATAGTGGGTGGTTGTTTGGGTAAAAGAGTAGATAGTTTGTTTTGGGTGACCAGGTGCTTGTAGATGGGTTTGCTAACGCTTGTTTTGTATCTTGAGTTGGTCTCTGGGTGATTCTATTCTCTCTAAGGTGCGATTGAATTGGAGTATATATACATATTTCCGTCTTCGCCGAGAAAGACATCTAGAAAGTTGGGCTGGAATCAAGGCAAAGAAAGAAACCCAATTTAGCAGCACCCTCCCGATATATTGTTGGCTAGGAAGCTTCCACGGATCTTATAGACCGGGTATCGTGATATGGGATCGTCAATAGCGCTAGAAATGAACTTGGTATTACAAGTCAGCTTAGGGCTGCAAGAAAGTAAACTCGAAGCTAAAATGATAGGCTGTGGGCGCTTAGGGCTCGGACTTCGTCTGAGTTCTATTCGTTCTCCGTGAAACTTATATTGGCGCCAGCCCCTTACACCCCAGACTGGCTTCTGATTTTCACCGATCCTTGTTCCTGCAAGCCATAATTCGGCGCTAGTATGATTATGCTAGTCTTTTAATATCGACACACCCGCATCGCGATAGGGATGGTTGGCTCAGGGGTAAAGTTGCATCTCCGTCAGCCGCGTTGAGGTAATATATCCCCCTCAAGTGCAAAATGACGCTATGAGTATGGGACGCTACAAGATTATCGGAAATGTTTCAGGGTCAAGTCGCCGACATTTTAGACATGTCGATAGTTCATGGCAGTAACGACCCAATCTCCAATCGCGTATCCGCAATCCCTGCTTCATGGCAAACATCTCCCCTCTAACGAGCCCAACCTGGAAAGCAATATTGACCGCCAGTTTTGGTCTCACTATACCCGAAGCGAACAGTGTATTCCACATTACTCGGTTAGTTCGCATTTGGCCGGCTCCTCGCAGCTCAGCGGATGCTTACAGAACTTTATCATGGGTTATTGAGGCCAACTAACCGCCAATACTCTGTTGACGAGTGTAGCAATGCGATATTATTGACCGCGTCTAGGGTCACCGGGGCATGCTGGCACCGTGGCACCGCTAAACCCCAATCGCTACCATATATCCATGCAAGTGGCGGCGTGTGCAACGCAGTGTCACGAGTCGGTCTGACACGCTGCGCAGCTCTCTTATTAGGTTGATATTGCAATCTTTTACAGGAGAGATATATCCTGTACTAATATGACCATAAGATGATCGAATATCAGATCAGAATGTCATGGTTGGCAGCCATGTCAATTAACAACGCATTGAGGAGTAACGTGTCGTATCCAGGTGGAAGTATTTGGAAGCTTTGTGCACTTTGCTCCAAGTAATTGCACTCTGTGTGGCTTATCCGTGGCTGTAGTAGTCTCCTTTAATGTTGATGAGAAGGCTCTAGAAACATGCTTCTCCAATGACTCCCAGGCTGGGTTTCTAGAGGGAAAGTTCACACGTATGATCCCTGGTGATAGATAGGAAGGTCCTCTGCACATTTTAGGCTTTTTCTGCCTTACTACTATTCTTGTAGACTTGAATTGAAAATATTACATGAGAACCATCCGTTCACTGGTTGAAAGACAAGCATGGATCGTGTTGGCAGCTACCTTTCAAAACATGCGTCACCCCTATATATCCTTCTGATAATAGCTCTGACCTGTTCTCCCGAGGCTACAATCAAATGGTGATATGTTTATTTCCGGCTTTTCGCTTGTCAACTTGTCAAGTTTACGTCGTTCTGTAGTAGAAGTTCACTATCAGCACCTTTGGTGTTACCTCTTTTTCCTCCCCCAAATAATGATATTTAATATAGTTTTTAAATTTATTGTCTCTGTTAGATACCATTGACCCAGAATTATCTTTAAATTGGGGGGGGGGCCTTTTTTTACTAGAGAATGATACAAGATGGCTAAAGCCATAACTATGAGATCCACAAATATTGACAGCTGAAAAAAAGATATACTTAAAAATACGAGCTTGGCTCACAATATTTAAATAAATTACCGTATTACCGTGACTCCACAAATGGTCTGGCATCCCAACGAACTCTCCTCAAGTGTCTCTTCGGGTCCCGCACCTCGTTCCTGGCATGGAGCCACCGACGATTCCCAACCAAGACAATCGATCCACTCGGCAACAATAGCGGCGAAAGTGAGATCGTCTGCGATCTGGCCTCGGAGCTCCGCAACATATTTTTCAGCTCCTCGAACGCTTCGCCCCCGCTAGTCGTCAGCGGCGTAATGATATCTTCACGGAACCGCAGCCCATCACCCGTATTGGTCAAAACACTACCAACAATGGATCGCTGATCGTCTCTCTTGACGAACTCCGGTGGGACTGTAATGCGGTATTCGGCCCTGGACAGATATTTTCGCGCGGTGGCTGAGAGCAGCGGCAGGAGGCGGGCTAGCTCCATTACGGAGAGAGTACCGCCTCCGCAGGTATCGGCGTGGAGGACTTGGAGCGCAAAGAAGCTAGGTGGACGTTCTTCGTAACTGCAATCTGTGTGCCAGGGGAAGGATTCAGATGTTTCAGACCGTGCTGGCAAATTGTCCGGGGAGGAACAAGGGTTCGAATTCGAGGATGACTTTGCGATTCTTGTCGTAGATTGAGGCCGTACATCCCAGAACCAGCCTCGTGTTGAGCTATGGGTGATGGGTAACCCATGGTTGTGGCTTCTGTTCAGGGATGAGATCAGTTGTGTGAGATAGGTGCTTGATTCGTCGCGAAATTTCAAGTTTATCTTGAGTAGCCCTTGGCTTCGAAGTATCTCATGAGCCTGATGGATATGTTTGGTGTTGTGGGAGCTTTCCAGTCCATTGGCGTCCAGTTGTTGAACTTGTGTTGATAAACCTGTTGATAGGTGTCAGACTGGTTAGATTAGTGATGAAAAGTAGAGTAAGACCTTTGGTTTGCACACGAGATAATATCGGAGGATGCCATAATGACGTTTTGGGGGGGCAAGGAAAGGATCTATATGTGAGGCGTGGCATTTCTCCTGTTGAAGCTGCTTAAATGTGCTCCGTACAACATAATATAACAACCAAAGTTTCTTGTCGGACTCGCAAGGATCTAGGCTAATAGCTCCACTAGGATCTAGGACCTAATAGGGGCTAGTATTTGATATCTCTTTTGCAATGTTCTACGTGAAAGTGCTGTAATCTACTTAAATCATTCCTATTGAGTCATGCTAGAAAGATACGTATACATAGAAATACAGAGTCATCGTGTTACCGATCGTATAGATCACTTGTTGGCGCTAACGAAAAGAAAAGAACAGAAAAGTGGATTCGGCATTTAATACGGTCTATGACATGGTATGGATATTGAGATCGTGTCGGGTCCTCAGTGGTGAAAAATAGATCAGAAACATTCACTGCAATTCTAGTTTTTCCTCCTTCGAATCAATTCTAAAACTCACTTCTACCATGGCTACGTACTATTCACTTGGAGATATTTTATCGGTGGCTTCCAAACATCCATTCTATAACCGGGAGATCGAATACCCACCCAGTACAGAAGAAATAGCCCGGCTTCTCGACCAAACTGCGATAGTCCAAGATCTTCGCACTCTCCCTCTTACACGGAAAGAAGACCTGTACGACAAATATCCCATGTTCATGACTCATATCTCAATATATGATAGTTGACCCATTTTTTCTTAACAGCTATACGGCAATCCAGCGCCTCTCCGCCGATGACTCCCCCCAAAATGATTTCAGACGAAGCGCGTATAGCAGTATCACTGGCGGAGGATCAGGAGGTGTTCCTATGCTCTTCTTGACCGACTCAACCGAAAATCGTAAACATCGATATACCGCTGGACAATTTCTAAAAACATGCGGACTGGTAAAGCCTCGCGACTGGATCTTGACAGTGCATGTCACAGGGGGCTTCTACCGGTCACTCGATCTTTTGTCGGAGATGTTCGAGAATGCAGGCGGAAGTGTTCTTGCAGCAGGACACACAACGCCCGTTGCAAATGTCGTGGACGCGCTGATTAAATACCGAGTGAATGTTCTCAGTGGTGGAAGTAGTCAGATCTTGCAAATTTTGAACTATATTGCTTCATCTACACCTGAGAAACAGAAGGCACTAAAGATTGACAAGATCATCTATACTTCAGAAGCTTTGGGTCGGCCACAGCGAGATTTCATTCGCTCTGTCCTCGGTCCGGTCAGTATCTGTTCGGTGCTCGGGAGTTCCGAAGCTGGACCTTGGGCAGTTGCCAATCTAGCCCTCACAGGCGAACCAGAGGACGATGCTGTTGAATTCATCTACGATTCCCGTACCATGGTCATCGAGATCCTTCCTCTGGAAGCTACAGAGACGCCAAGAGAAGCTATGCAAGATATCCCAGAGCTACCGGAAGGGAGTGTGGGTGTGATTGTGCAGACTTCCCTACAGCGCCTCAGAAACCCGCTTGTCCGTTACATCACCGGTGATATAGGATCATTGCATCCATTACCCGCCGCAGCAAAGGCCGCTCTCCCTGTGGATGAAGCCCAGCACTTGCGAATGATCCGGATGAGGGGACGCGATAAACGGTTCAGTTTCAAGTGGGTGGGGAGGTATTTCGAATTCCATACCATCAGAGAGATTATGCGTACGCCTGAATGGGGAGTCTTGCAGTGGCAGCTTATCTTGAGTATGAAAGAGCCGTCCCCGGAGGTGATTTTGGAGGTTCGTGTGTTCCTTTCTACTGCTGAGACAGCCGGCCAGATCTCTCAAGATGAGTTGATCGAAAAGCTGAAGATGCTCTTTGTCGTTGTGGGGAATAGTGAACATCTGTTCAAAGTAACCTTCGTAGGGGATGATCAAGGGTTTGAGCTGAGCACCACAGGAAATAAAGTAATGAGCTTTGTGGACCGGAGTGTTCCAACTTGAGTGGTTACTATGTTGAGTTAGATATGTATATAATTAAGCATTGCATATGCATAGTCCACATATTACAGAATACACATGCAGCCCTATGTACTAGTAGGGTGGTGTATTGTGACAAAACAGTACACTAAATCAAAAGTTCAATCCTGAATAAATCAACCTCTATATAAGTGGGGATTTCGACTTGGTTCTAATGTATTGAGATTAATCTTGTCTTCCAAGTTTTATATTGTCAACATTTCCTTCCCATTTCACACCTTTCATCATGGATCACCAGATTTACGAATCGATCTACCCCGACTTCCATGTTCCACTCCATCTTTCCTTGTCCCAATTGCTACAAAAATACAATCCAGAAGATGTACCTGACAACAAACTAATTCTGGAAGACCTATCGCCTGGAGGCAGACAAGTGACCTATGGCCAACTACGCACCGAAGCCGCTATGGCGGCCGCGTATTTCACAACTGTTCTGGGGCTAAAAGCCGGTGACACTGTCGCTATTTATGCATCGAATTCTGTTCGCTATCCGATTGTTGCGCATGCGGTAATGTGGTTTGGGGGTGTGATCGCGTGAGTTCTCTGCCCCATGCCTTTTTGTATTGTTTTATATCTGACAGTGAGGACAGTGGAATGAATGCTTTAACATCGGTTCAGGACTTGGTTCATTATCTGACTATTTCCCGACCGATGCTTGTGGTCACCGATGGCCCATTGCGGGTTAAGATGGAAGAAGCCGTATCCAGAGTCGAGGGTGTCAATCCAATGATCATGGCTCTCGATGAGCTGTTCACGGACATGGTAACTTTAATTTACTAGTCTTGCAGTTGGCGTGATATAGGCTAACACATACAGTCTCAAAAATGTCTCTCTCCATGTCTGCCTTTCGATTTGTCTGGAAAGGACAATCGAATACACCCCGCATCGATCATGTTCAGCTCCGGTACAAGTGGTAAGCCCAAAGCCGTGCTTTGGAGCCATTACAATATCATTGCACATGTTCTCCAACCTCGAGCTACTCTCCCAGAGCAAAACAACAGCCTCGAAAGAGAGGTTGTATACGCACCTTGTGAGTAGTCTGCTTCTCTCTCAAATTTGGATAAGTCTGATGCAAATTGTAAAGTGTGTCACATGCTAGGCTTCCTGGGGGCAGTCCTTAAGCCCGCATTTCTAGGTTGCTATGTTGTAGTCATGAAACGATTCGACTATGAAGCATACATCGAAGCCTGCGCGAAATCCCGAGTTACGATCATGAAAATGATTCCCGCAACAGCGGTGGCTATTGCGAAAGACCAGACTGTCGATAAGCATGATCTCGGTAGTGTCAGACATATCTTGTGTACTGGAGCTACACTCCAGGAGCAAATCGTGAGGAGACTTCAGGATATTATGAAGGGCTGTGCGATCATACAAAGCTATGGGTACGTTTTCGTTCCGATCTACCTCGACTAATCCTGGGCTTCAATCTGCCAAATCGATGCTGATATTGGTTATAGTCTGAGCGAAATTGGTGTGTCGATATTGAAAGGATCACGGTCATCTGAAAAGTCTGGAAGTGTAGGAAGACTATTCCCTGGAAAGTAGGTTATATGCAGCGAATTTTCATCATTTTAATCGACTGACTCAATCCAGCAAACTGCGTGTCGTGGATGAAAAGCTCCAGGATGTCCCAATAGGGCAAGCGGGAGAAGCGCTTATCAAAGGTCCTACCTTATTCATGTTGGTTTAAATCCTACCAGTTCTCTCAGTCTTTCCAGTATATATACTTACTGGGACCAAAAAGGGGATACAAGAACAACCCAGCCAGTACTCGAGAGGCCTTCCACGAGGGGTGGTTCCGAACTGGAGATGTTCTCAAGATGGACTCGGATGGGTTTCTCTGGTTCCAGGACCGCCAAAAGGAGATTATCAAGTACAAAGGGTATGTGCAGAAGACCTTTCAAGTGACCAGTTTTGGACAATATTAATGCCCCATGATTTACAGGAACATGGTGGCCCCAGCCGAGCTCGAAAACCTCCTTTCGGCCCACCCAGATGTCCTCGAGGCTGCTGTCTGCGGCTACTTCGATGAATCCCAGCAGACCGATATTCCTGTCGGATACGTTAAGCTGCGAGATTCTGTGGCTATCATTGATCGTGCCCGTTTACTGGGAGAAATCAAGAAAATCGTCGACGATTCTGTATCATCTCCGAAGAAACTTCGAGGTGGACTGTTCTATTTGGCGGAATTACCCAAAAATGCGACAGGAAAGACCATGAGAGGGCTTCTTCCGGCTCGACTAGAGTCTGATAAGAAGAGGTGGAGTAAACTGTGAGCGATGTCGATGTACCGATACGATCGAATACGATCGAATACGATCAACTTCATAAATAAGAACTCTAACATTTCCACTTCGAAGGAGCGGTCTAAAGATCGTCGTTCTCAATATGGATTCTCCACTATTGAATACAGTATATGTAATAAATGGTGTAATAGAAGTGTATATCGTATTGTAATTAAGTCTCCGGTATGGCCTCGATTTATATTACATTTCTGCAACTATCTCTGTAATGCAATACAATAAACATTTATATAGTACTATATACTTGTTTCCTCCCAAGGTATTCTCGCACTTTTGTCAACATTGAAGTTACTAATAGCTTTCATCATGTCCCTCAAATCCCCAGATACTAGAACGGATATACCCAAACCAGCACCCAGCGCAAGGTGAGATGAATGATATTTTGATGGCATTAGTTTTTTCCCTATAAAAATCACACTCTAACTCATGGTCCTCCAGTGTCATTCTCGTCTCATCCACAAACGAAGTTCTTCTTCTCCAACGTACCAAAGCCTCCTCATCCTTCCCATCAGCCCATGTGTTTCCAGGTGGGAATCTCGCCTTACAGGATGGAGACTGTCCACCCGCAGGGGATCCAAAACGACACGAAGATTCAATCAGTTACCGAAGAGCCGCACTGAGAGAGCTCTTTGAAGAAAGCGGAGTTCTACTAGCTCGGGATACAAGCTCGGGAGAGATGCTCACGATTGATGAGAAAAGAAGGGAGGAAGGAAGAAAAGCCATTCACAATCAATCCATTACGTTTTTGGAATGGTTGGCGAGGGAGAATAACGGCCGTGCCACGGAGCCAGATACAGGTTTGTCCTGCACTCTCTTTCTGCGCGTCATTGTTCCTGATACTTATACTCACACTCGGTAGAGAACCTGATCCCTTTCACGCGCTGGATTACACCGGCCGGGGTCCCGAATCGCTATACAACGCAGATGTATATTTACTTCTTACCTATACCCGATGACCACGGACAAGGTCTAGACGCAGATGTGAGCATTCATCCTTGCCATGATGGTGGAATCGAGATCACCGATGCCCGATTCCTGGAATCCTGTGCCTGGCTCCGGAAGGCTCAGGCGGGACAGGTGAAACTTCTTCCGCCTCAGTACTTTCTCCTTTCTTTAGCTTCGCAATTTCTCGATACCTGGTCCCGCAGTCGTCAATCGCTCGTTGCTCTTAGGCGACAGCGACGGAGACTGCTCCAATTCGTGAACGCGGGATCTCCACCTTGGACGCAAATCTGTATTTCGCCGACGATTGATAGAACTCTATCTGATGGACGGGCCTTGGTTAGACTGGATAGTCCTGGTCCTGAGTTGGAGGGATCTGGTCGGAGCGGAGTAAAGGACGTTGTTATGTTAGCCAGGTTTGATACAGAGGGTCCTAGGGATATAGAGATTATTCCCAAGGAAGGTAGGACTAAAGAGAGCAAGTTATAGATTTTGCAAAATTTCGATTTTTTCACTACAACCCCTCTATAAATTGGACTCATACAACAGAAACCATCCACGCGCCCCCATGACTGATAGCACATACTCTGCCCGGCCCACTGCGCCAACATCCTACCCCCAGATATTTTCCGTGTATAGACATGTACGTCCCCACCAGACGGTTGCGCTGTACGCCTTCCTCTTCCCTCAAAAGGACTTGATATAGTGGTTGCTGGACCTGACGCTGTACCACATAGGTCGTTCCACTCGGCATCAATGCTGCGCTTTCAAGTGCTTTGAGCTTTTCGTTCCATTCCCCAGTAGATAGTTCATCCCCAAAAAGAATCCCCTCGCCCTTGCCGCCTCGGACAGGCTTGAGGATATAATTGTCTTTGAATGACGGTGACTCCCGACATTGCCGGCCAAAGGCCTTGAGTTCTGATGATCCCGGGAGGATTGTATGTACAATACCATGGCGGAGGACCTCGGCTTGACGCTCAGTAAGGACGTGATGCTTGTGAACCAGCGAGTCTAGTTCTTGGTGAACTATTCCAAGCAATCTCTTGTCGTGCACCAGGAAAACGGATCTGAGATCGTTGAAACAGCGCGAGGACAGATGTTGAAGCATCTTTGGCGAGAGCGCTTGAAGTTCGTGCTGATGGAGTTCGAGTCCTACTTGGTGGATTTCTTCCAGAGCTTCTCCTGTTGCATGATCGGTGAAGGTTGACGATTTCGGATGCTTTGTGTTTGCTGATAATGCTTGTTCAATATCAATCACACAGCAGATCTTGTACCCCGTTTTGGAGTCTGGGTCCGACACCAGTCGAAGGTCTTGGGGTGAAATCAATCTAGGTACAACTCCTGTTCGCCGCTCTGCACATTCGAGGAACATGAGGATATCGTGACCTCCTTCGCTGCCTTTGAGGAGGTGTAAGGGAAGCTTGGGATCGAATAATGTGAACAGCCCATCTATAACCTACATCTCTGGTGTTAGTACATACCCCACACATGTAATAAATTAAGGAGTCTGTAGTAGAAAGGTGATTTCTCACATCGTCACTCTCCGCTGTCCCCTTGAACCCTTTCCGTTCAGCCCCCAGATCCAGTAGACCTTGTTGGCCGTACGCAGTAATCAAAAATCCATTGAAAGCAAATCTTGCATTAATTTCGCAAATACGAAACTGCTCTTTGGATGATTCAGGTCCACCAGTCGTAGGCACTTCTTCAATTAGAAAATCCGGTCTCCAGGAACCTTGTTTATCAAATGGACGAGAGTCTGTATCATTACCATCGATCCACTGCAATCGGTGAGCTTTATACTTTATACTCTGTCTCTGGATTCTTGCCCTTGAATTACTTACCTGTAAAAGAAGTTCCTCGTGCACTTCTAACGGCATTCTTCTCGAAAACTCCGCATCTTTGTCCTTCCACCATCTTTCAATAATATTGTTAATGGCAAGCACAAGCGCTTTGTGTAGTTCCCTCAACTCGTCGGTGTGTTGCGCATTCATTCGCATCGGATGCGGACAACTCTGGAGATGAGCATCATGTGGCCAGCCTAGTCGAGGACAAGGCTCTTCAAGACTCTTGATGTTCACTTCTCGCTCTTGTTGTCGGGTGGTTTTCTCTGCGTGTGCCGGAAATACAAAATTGACCTTTTCTGGATTGTTTGTACTCAGTGCAAGAGATATTTGACAAATTCGGTTCTGGATTAGAGTCATTTTGCTTGGACACGTTTTAATATTATTGCACGAAAGCCGTAGGTAGTGCCGGGAGAGTCATAATTCTGGGAAGAGAAGCCAAGGGAGTTTCAACCATCTAGTCTGCGATCCTATTACATACCACCACGTATATAAAATACGTGGTAATGAAGAGTGGCTAATATCCACTTCCAAGGCCTACTATGGAGTACGGAGAATAGCGTAAACATTCCGAAATGAGCTAGCAGTTATTAGCGTAATCATGCAGATCCTATATATTGGCTCCGATCTCAGTTGCCATTCAATCGGAGGTTCACGAGAAAGGCGTCCGTGTTATACCCCAAGAGTCGAGTAGACAAGAGAAGGAAAAAGTGTTGGCGGGATAGAACTTGAACTCTATTTCCCATGTAATTAACGTATTGTTTCATGGCCGTTATTTACCACTGTTGTTTGGCATATGTATTGGTACGATAAAAGCTCCCCAAAGCAGTTTATATTCCGAGCTGAAGTACTCCGTATCATTTCAAACCTTGATATACATAAATCATATCTACATTTTGACTATCTATTCTTCCTCCTCGTCAACCTTTCCATCATGGTACAGGAAGAATTGTGTAAAGATCGCCATATCCAGCAGCAGCGTGCCAGCACTGCCGACCAACCACGACAGGTTCACCAATACATACCGGCCATACAACGCAGCCGCCTCACCAGGACGACACTGCGCACGGTGACGGTGCCCCATGATCTCCTCGGGAGACCCACCATGGCAAATAGGCGAGTATGCCAGGATAGAGAGCACGTAAGTCAAGTTTCCGATGCAAGCAAAGAGGAAGAACAGCAGGGAAACACCATCCGTTGATTTGCGGCGGTAGTTCAAGAGAAGCTGGGGCAGGCGTGACCCAAGATACAAAACTGCACAGAAATAGCCGAATACTTGACCCAGAACATCCATCGCGAGAGGTTCCGGGCCTGGTGATGACGACTTTGCTGCAGGGCTGACGAACCAGCCCATCACACCTGCGGCACAGACTAGAGCGACGGCGGTGAGATTGAAAAAGATTGATTGGAGGGCGGAGATGCGGCGACGACGGGCGCGTTGAGCACGGCGGCGCGCGACATCGGTTGTTGGTTCGATGAAGGGCGTTGCGGGTGATAGATGGGTGCCGTCTACCGATGTGTTGAAGATATCATGATACGAGGTTGCCGACTGCCGTCTTCCAGAGGAGAGTGGGCGTGTGCGGTCTTGGGGTAGCTGCCCAGTTACATTTACAGCTTGGCCGCTGGGTTTCGGGATGAGTGATGATGTCTCTGTTGGTTCTGGTTGATGTTCAGCGCCATTCCGCTCCGCATCGGAAGTACCGTTGCTTGCAAAAAGGTCCGGCGTGGCCGAGGGGGATAGCTCCTCCTTGAGGTTGAACCCCCGGTAGTAAAAGCACTGTCCCAGCAGAACAATATCTGCTAAAGTGTAGTACACTGCAAGGATGATCATGGTAGGGAGTACGCCTTGTAGGACGGCACCGAGAATGTTGAACACATCGCCAGCCAACCAGATGATGAGGAAGATGAGAGAGAGGCCATCTGCAGAGCCACGTCGGAAGTTCTCGATGATTTGAGGGGAGAAAACGACGACCCAGCAGGCAATAGAGATTGATCTAGATTGGTCAGTATTGGATGAAGAAAAACAAAACATGCAGAGATCGCCGGGCCAAGTAGATCTAGACCCGATGTCGCATATGCATGCATTAAATGAACATGACAGCTAACGAGAAAACACCGAAGAGGAAAAAAAATTGAAGTTCAACTTGTCGAACTTACCCGCAAATGCCGCTAAGGGCCTCGATGTTAAAATTAGCCGCCTGCGAGGGAAACATCTTGCAGGCGAACTGTGCGATTCAGATTCAAGTATTCCAAAAAGAGTTTTGGGGAGCAATACAATGTAAAAATCGAATGCCAATATAAACAAATGTAGTCGCTGGAAAATCCAGCTCTGTGCAAGTTGTAAATAGATGCAATTGGAGGTGCGCGAAAAGAATTGGAGAAATCCACAGATGAAAGGTAGATGACGTCGGGTCACGTGCACCAGAAGTATACGGCATTTTACATGTTGATTTCTTTCATTTCCTTATATCTCCTGCAATTTATTAAGCTATGGCTCAAATGAGTTGGCATTGTCTTAATTGTGGGCCTGAATTCAGGCAGCTACCTTCATAAGTAGCTCCAATTTGTCCTGTGCGTCACAGAAGATGTTTATAGCCTTGGTCTCTGTCAGCGAAGCTTAAAAGTCAATCAATGTATTTACTTACCTCGGTCAACTTGATATGACTAGCACCGCCCAGGTCTCGGGCAAATGTGATCTGGTAGCTTCCAGGATCGTTGATAAAAGAGACACCCCGCGCCGGGATTGGAAGTGTCGGCGCAATATCAAATAGCGACTTGACATTTCCTGCATAAGGCTGGGTCAATTGTGTCAACAGACCCGGCGCAATAGTGAGATGATCCACTCCAGCGAGGAAGAAGATCTCCTCGACGGAAGTCAAGCTAGCAGGGAGGACTTTGGTGGGTGAATTGATGGACTTGTAGTATTTCTGAATGGCAGCGCAAAGCGGGAGCAGTTTCGCGTTGTCCACGTAACTAAAATGTGAAAAGCGTTAGATAGGCTTTGAAAGAAGAATTGAGTGAGTATTTACCCTGTTTCGACATGCACCTTCAATTCGTTCACATAGGGTGCGATATAAGTACAGCCCACCTCAGCTGCGAGTACAGCTTGAGCCATGCTGAAAAGAGTGGTCGCCAAAGTACGCACACCGGCTAACTCAAGGGTGCGGCATGCCATCATTCCTTCCCATGTACTCGGAATCTTGATAGAAATGCGATCGGCGTCAAAGCCGGGCTGCACATGCTGGAACAATTGCACAATGCCTATAAACGATATGATTAGCATCAGGTTTGAGCAAGAAAAATATCGATGAAAAGGGTCAAACATACGGAGTGCATTGACGACAATCTTATCCGACGAGTACGAATAGTAAGGATTAACCTGTACATGGACACGTCCACGAATGTGTTTCGCCATTCCTACAGCCAATCTAACCATCTATTAATCGATATTAGTGACCTTCATCATCAAACCCATGCTGTAATCGAAGCAACAACTCACCGCAATCTCGGCAGCCAACTCTTCAATACCGATGGATGAGTACTTCGGATGCAATTTCATCGCATCTGTCCGCGATGCAGCAATGACTTCAGCCCGCGCTGGCTTAGAAAGCTCGCCGAGTGCAATAGCCTGCGTGGTTAGTTTCATATCCTAGCGTCGCAGGTTCATGTGCTTACTTGGTTAGAAGTGCAGTCCTGGAATGGTCCCAGAGTTTTACCAACTAGGAAGTAGTCAGCCATCTGTAAATGATAATAATCTCTACTATGTAGAATGGCCAGTTCACCCACCTTCATCATCCATAGTATCACAGTCGACCAGCGTGCGCAAACGCATATAGTCGAGGCCTGTCTGTACTACCATCTTGAGTGTAGAAGGCTAAATTTGAAACCGGTGATCTAGCAAACGAGCAAACCAAGTGTCTGATGAAGAAAGAAAAAGAGAAAGGAAGGAGGTAAATGGATATTCCACCTCCTCCAACCCCATAATACATTTAATGGGGGGTTTTCCGGGGCACCATACTCCGCAGGTGGCACGGATTTGTCGGCCCGGGTAATTTGATAGTGGGCCATCGTACATATTTCCGAATCATATGCACTCTGTACCTAGCACTGTATCTAGTATTGCGTGTTATTGTGGTGGAACACGGGATAATGCTCTAGAAAGTATGACGGAAATATGTATGAGAGCCCTGGAGCTGGGTCAAATGCATCAACGGGTTCGGGGCAACCTCGGAAGCTTACAGCATGTCATAACAATTAGTAGAACTACATATATTCAATCGAGAGGAGCAGATGTATCCCAATCAGGCAATATTCGCATTGTGTAGGATAAGAAGGATATATGCCGAGAGAAACGCCACGCGATGCAAAGTGGAAACCCACCCCCAAGATACCGATACCTATCAAACTAGATATAAAAATCAAATGCTCTCTTTTGTTTTTGGCTTCTATTTGGCCTGGGTAGCCAACCACGCCTCATGTGCCTTCTTCTGACGTTCCCAATCTTTGCGGAGCTTCTTCGCCCGGCTCTTGGTGATCTCCTCGCCGGCAGTGTCGCGGGTAGGCATGCCATCCTCATCCCAGGCGCTGTACTCATTGGTGCGGAACATCTCCAGGTGGCTCAGCTTGCCCTTCTCTGCCTTCTTGAGAGCTTCTTGCTCCTTCTTCAGCTTCTCGGCCTGCTTTTGGAGAGCCCGGGTTTCCTTCTCTTCCCGCGCCTTGAGCATCTCTTGGGTCACTGGCCGGACCAGGGCAGGCTGGTTCTCCCGATCTTCGAGGGCGATACCAACATCGAAGAGGTCGATGTCTCGCACCCGGTCGCACAGGGAAAGAATATCCTTGCCAATGGAATCAGATGACTCCAAAGACACCACCTTGGCACGGAAGTTGGAGAAAAGCTCAGCGTATGGCTTGGCAGCTTCGGAGGCCTCTTGGGGTGCTGATGCTTTGGCAACTGCCGCCTCGAGATCCTTGGCAGAGATTCCAGCCTTGGACCGCGCGGCGTCACGGAGAGTGTCACGCATAGCCGACAGAGGGTACAGGTAGGCCTTGGCCTCCTCGGGAATATCAATACCAGACCAGCCGATTTCAGTGCTGTCAGCCGAGACGGTGCCGTTAAGACCGAAAATGTTCACCATGGAGGTAACCCATTGGGCTGCAGCCTGAACATCCTCAGAGGGCACGGTGGCCTTGTCGACAATGTTGAACTTGGAGATAAGTTCCGAGATCGAGGCCATGACGGCGGGGGTGTTGAAAGAATCACAAAGCTGGTCGTGGACTGCCTTCTTGGCCGCTTCCAGATCAGCAGCAAAGGTGGTATCGGTGCCTGACGACTGTAGAGCCGCAGGATCCTTCACCTTGAGGAAAAAGTTGTTCACTTTCTCCTCCCACGAACTGCCAGTGTTTACCAGATCATCTGTGATCTCAACGCCGTCCTTCCACCCACCCAGGAGGAAAACAATGCGCAAACTTCTCGGCGACCAGTCTTTGCGATCAAGAGCTTCTCGGATGGTAGTGAAGTTCTTCAACGACTTGGACATCTTGGATCCTTGGATGGACAGATGGCCCATGTGCAGGAAGTAGTTAACCCATTGCTCATGCTTGTGATCACCGTGCCAGTAAGCCTCACTCTGGGCAAGCTCATTGTCGTGGTGCGGGAAGGCAAGATCAATACCACCAGAGTGGATATCCATCTGGTTGCCCAGCCGGGCTGATGCCATGGCTGAGCACTCGATGTGCCAACCAGGGCGGCCCTTGCCCCAGGTACTGGACCAGCTCGGCTCGCCTGGCTTGGACGACTTCCAGAGAGCGAAATCGGAAGGACCGCGCTTCTCTGTCGTTTTGCTGGCCAAAGAGCCTTCGCCCTCTGCGGCCAATTTGTTGTCTGACCGACTCCATGGCTCAAGGCGAGCGTACGGGTGGCCCGCAGCCTCGAAAGCATTGATATCAAAGTACACCGACCCGTCCTTTGTAGCATACCCGAAGTTATTCTTGACAATGCGATCCACGAAAGCCGCAATCTCATCGCCATATTCCGTCACGCGAGTCAACTCGGTGGGGTCAAGAACGTTCAGGTCCCGCATATCCCTAGTGAAGCGGTCCTCATATCTCTTAGTCAATTTGGTGAAGATGCTGTGATCGTTCGCATCAACCAATGCACCCTTCAAGGCATCGAGGTAAGGCAAAATGAGATCCTGCGCGTTCGAATAGAACGACTCAGCGAAGAGAGCAGGGTCGGCACCCGAGTCATCACGGGTTTCCGCCTGCGCGATGACTTTCGCGGCCGACGCAGCCGTCTTGATGTGCATCTTAACCTTGGCCTCATCATCGCCCGCCTTCTCGTTTCCTGGCAAAGCTCCGCCGTTCAAGATAGTTGCGTAGGTTTTTTCAACCTCCTTCTGGTACTGCGACGGAGGCAGTTCGGATTCGAGCAAGGGGAGGTTCTTCTTTAAGTAGGCGACGAAGGCGCATTTGACAGTATCTAGGACCTCCGGGGTAATCGTAGGGTTGACAGCGACGAATTCGTTAAACAGGTGTTGTTGTCTGGCGCGGAGGATGATCTATAGGATTGGTGAGTCACCGCGCTTGAGACTCTATCCATATACACAGCGCCGAGTAATACCTTATCGTCCACGTCTGTAATGTTCATAACGAAGTTGACATCAAACTTGAAGTAGTCGCGCATGATACGCCGAATAATATCGGTGCTAACATAGTTTCGGGCATGTCCAAGATGGGCGTCGTCGTAAACAGTCGGTCCGCACGCGTACCACACAACTTTCTTGCCCGCAGGATCGATTGGGACGAAGGGGGTCTTGGACTTGGTCAACGAGTTCCACACCTTCAATGGAGGCAGTTGCGCGTCCGGGCTAGAGGCCGGTTGCCGCCATGGCGGCTGCTGGCGAGAAGACATAGACCTGAATGAAGTAACAGACAATAAAAACCGGTGTTTGGACGGTGAAAAGAAGGGAAAGGAAAGAAGGGAGGATCGGGGGGAGAGCATAAAGAAAACAAAGGCAAATGGAGGGGGAGGGGCTCTTGTCAGGACCAGATCGACTCATCCATCAACTGCGGACTCGCTGTGATTGGCGGCAACTGGGGATGGGAGGACCGAGCCCTGAGCCCTAATTCATGGCCCAATCAGGTAATGAGCATGACAACCTTTTTTCTTTGCGGAGAGGCAAGTTCCAGCCTCAAGTTAGGAAATGTCCATATCAATCTCCATAATTGATATCACTCGCCATGCCGTCCCCATTCTTCACCCGGAGCGCCCAAGCCGACGCAGATAGCCTCGCCCTCTTGCAACTCCGACGCGACCAGATCATTCCGACAATCCTCCGCGACCATGACGATGAGAACCAAGGCTATTGGGAAGGCAAGGTTACCAACACCCGCTTTGGCTCGTTCCCACACAGCACTCTGATCGGGCAAACCTGGGGCTCCCAGGTTGTCGCTTCAAAAGTCGACACCGGCTCGCGCGGTCGCAATCAATCCGCCAAGCGCAAGGCCGAAGAGCTCGATGCCGACACAACAACTGGCGCAGAAGAGGAGAAGAAGCCATCACTAAGAGCCCCCGTCTCAGCGGAAAGTGGCTTCCTGCATATCCTCGCCCCGACCCCCGAAGCGTGGACCATATCTCTTCCCCACCGCACGCAGGTCGTCTACACCCCAGACTACAGCTATATTCTCCACCGACTCCGCGCACGGCCAGGCTGCACAGTCATCGAAGCCGGAGCCGGTAGCGGCTCATTCACGCACGCTTCTGCTCGCGCCGTTTTCAACGGGTATCCCGGGACCGACGGAGCGAACAAACGGCAACGACTGGGAAAGGTATGCAGTTTCGAATTCCACGAACAGCGCGCAGCCAAAGTGCAGCAGGAACTTAGAGACCACGGTCTGGACGGGATAGTGGAGGCTACGCATCGCGACGTCTACGAGGACGGATTTTTGTTAGGCGATCCCAAAACCGGCAAATCGCCCAAGGCCAACGCCATCTTCCTGGATCTGCCTGCTCCCTGGCTCGCATTGAAACATCTCGTGCGCAATCCGCCCCCTGGACAAGAATCAGCTCTCGACCCTGAGTCGCCCGCTTATCTGTGCACATTCTCGCCCTGTCTCGAGCAGGCTGAGCGTACAATCCGCACTATGCGCAAGCTGTCATGGCTCAATATTTCAATGGTGGAAGTTGCTCAACGTCGACTTGATGTCAAGCGGGATCGTATCGGGCTAGATACCGAGGGGGTGCGTGGAGCTACATTGTATCCGAAGACCGTTGAGGAGGCAGTCGCAAAGCTTCGCAGTGATGAACAACGTGCGAAGCTCATCCGTGAAAACCGAGCGAGCAAAGACGATCCAGATTACCAGCCAATTGTGAAGGAGACACCGTTCTATAAAGAGAAGACTGATGTCCCCTTATATGCTCAGGGTCGTTTGACACATCGGTCAGAGCCGGACCTCCGAACTCACACATCATACCTGGTCTTTGCGATCCTACCTCGGGCTTGGTCCGAAGAACAAGAGCAAAAGTGCCGGGATCAATGGCCATCCGCCAAGGTCGCTAGGCCCGATGAGCCGAAGACAAGCAAGAAGCAAATGAAGAGAGAGGCTGCATTGGAACGAGCCAGGCTTCGCGATGAACAGAAGGAATTGGAAAAAAGACACAGCCAGAATCAGGAGATAAGGCTGAGGAAGAAAAGGTCGAAGAAGGGAAGGCCGAAGAAAAGAGCACCGAGGCATGAGGATGAATAGATACCAGTGATTTGTTTCGTTAGCCGTTAGCATAAATTTTCCAAAGCTAGATTGAGGCACTGTTGTCTTTGAAGACAGCCTACACCACCCATATCATTTTCTCAAAGGCTTTTTAATTATTTGCATTATACGCAACCCCGGAGGCAAGCTGGTGGTCGTCAACTCCTCCGAGATCATACCAACGGCGATGAATGAGTACTACAGGAGATCAGAACGATAAAGAAGGCAACCGCTCATATGGGAATTCTCTATGTACAGGACAAAGATGCTATCAAGGCCGCCTTCTAATAAAATCATGAGATGCAAGTAATGACGATGGGGTAGATGGTATCAACAGGGAAATAGGAATTCTCAGAGGTTATTTTCAGCTCTGAACTTATCCCACGCTTCATTCAGGGTTCCGAACACAGATCCAGCAATCATACGCTGCTCAGTAGTAGCAGTTATAGAGATCTAATAGGGAATTTTAGTTGACAATCAGATGAAATGCAGACAATGCCACCCAAGAAGGGAGTAAACATACCTTATCAGGATGCACCTTGGAAATCCCCTTCATGTACTGAATCTTAACCTTATTCGGCAAAATCAGCTCCGACAAGCCAATCTTCTTCCACCCAGCCTCGGGCCATAGCACAGAATCCAGGCTACCCAGCAAGGCCCGCAAATTGTCTTGCTTGCCATTCCTCCAGGTGGCAATTCTCGCGTCGACGCTCTCGGAAAGGGCAAACTTCTCTTCGTCGGCGCGCTCGGCCGCCTCGTTGGCTTGCCGCAGACGGCTGACTGCTTCAAAGTCTGTACCAGATGCCGACGTGGCCGTGAGACCGGACATAGCCGATGTCTTCTTAGGCGGGGGTGAAGGCCTTTTCCTAGCAGGAGCTGCGGGCTTAGATTGAGGCTTGTTGATACCAGCCGCTTTCTCGCAACGATTCCGACCTTGGATACTTGTGCTGCCACCGTGACCAGACTCTACAGCCAGCTTCCACGCCTGGGCGGCTTCATTCCAGCGCTCGAGTTGCTCTAGGGCCTCAGCCTTGCGCATTAAAGCCTTGCCAAAGAAGTCTTTCATTGGCTTTGGCGGTTCCCCGGTGCAGAGATCGATTACCTCCGATTCGCCCTTAGATGGACCAATGAATGTTAGGATGATGTCGGCATCATCAATGGCGGACTTAGGTTCGCCGATCTTCAGGGCTGTCATAGCACGATTGCTGCGGATGATAATAGTGATAGGATGCTTGTCAGGGAGCATACCAAGAGCCGTAGAAAAGCTCTGATGGGCTGCTGCGTAGTCGCCTCTTTTGTATGACTCCGCGGCCTTTCCGCGGTGGCGGTGTGTCGATTGAAGCGCCTCCGGAGAAACAGGTGGAATAGACCGTGTTGGGGCTTTGGGGCGTACGGGGATAGGAGCTGAGCGTGCAGGAGGCGTGACAGTCTGGGCTGGGGTAGGAGGTTTTGAACGACTAGCTGAAGGAGCGGGAGAATCAAAGAGATCGACGGTAGGCTCAGAAGGCGGCGGTGTGGCCTGAGGTCGCTTACGTCTCGCGGGACTAACATATGCCTGCGCCGACTGCTCCTCGGCGGCAAACCGTGCAAGGCGAGATTTAGGATCTTGGGAGCTGGGTCGGGATGGACGCTGGAGGAAATTGGGCTGCTGCCTTGGCTGCACAGCACCAGGGGGCTGTTGGTTACGGGGCTGGCTTCTCGCGTCGGGGTGGTGGCTTTCGCGAGGACGAGAAGGTTTCTGAGGCCGACCATCTCCAGACTCAAGAAGGAGCGCTTCATTAGTGAAGTCTTGCTGCTCTCTTTGGGATTGGGCCGGCTGATCACGACGACCTGGACGCTGCGGCTGCAAAGGAGGCTCATCTTGTGGAGAGGATGCATCTTTCATCCAACGTGGCTGGCTGGGGTCATGCTCGGTGTTGAATTCATTCACAGCTTGTTGGAATTTCTTGCTGCCAGTCTTCCAAAGCGAACCGGCTGATTTCAGCAGATTATTACCAAATTGAGAGGCCACCTGCGCAGGGTCTTTGTCTGCTGATGCTGGACTGCCTCTGTCCTGACGTGACCGAGATTCTGGCATTTCTTCTCTCATCCACGAAGGTCTGTCACGGTTGCGACTATCGCTCCTTTCAGCGCGATCAGCCGAACGAGTCGCACTGGGGTGTCCTTCGGTCTTCTGTCGAGATTCGGCATGGGCCTGGGTAAGTAGCCAACCAACAGCAGCCTGTACGTCGGTTCCGGACTCTGTGGTATTCAAAGCCCGGCGAGATTTCTCCGCGGGGAATCCCATGTCCACCAGCTCCGCAATAGCCCGATCGACCTCGTTAGAAGGCATAGGAGATGTATCTTGGTCTCGTCCCCGGTCTGAAGGTGTGGAGGATGTGGGAGTCGGTTCACGGTGTGGGATATCTGATACCGGCTTCCCGAGCAAACCAAGGAAATCATCATCGTCGCCCTGTTGAGGCTGAGGAGCGGGAGCGGATTTCGGCTTCAATTGGTTGAGGCCGAATGGGTCATCGTCATCAAAGGCGCCCATACCCCCCGTGTTGTCCTGCATGGAAATTCCCCCATTGGAAGGTTCTGGGCGACGGTTCATATCGATTCGAGGCGATGATCTCGAGGAGTCAGGGACTGGGAAATGGGTCGACGCGTCCACCGGCGCGGCAGCATCGAAGGCGGCCAGAATATCCTCATCGTCCGCGGGCGGGGGTACAGATCGAGACGCAGGTACAGATGCGGGGCTCCGCGTACGTCCTTCAAAGTTGTCCCAGAATTGGTTGTTCTGACCTCCGTATTGCGATTCGAATCGATTGCGATTATCAGCTTCCTTCTTGGCCTTCTCCTCCTGCAACCGCTTTTGCTGTTCCATGAGAGAAAGGTTCTTGTTTCCGGCAGAAGAATTGAATGAGACCAGGTTCGCAAAGCTATCTCCAGTAGAAGTGGCGGGCTTTGATGGCGAGCTTGAGCGGTTCGAGGTCGCAGATAACGGGGTAGACCTGCCGGAGCCGCCATTTGATGGTATACTTGGGTACAGATACCCAGAGCTCATCGGCGGTGGTTTGCTTGGGTTTTTGGAGTCGGAGGACCAACTCAAGCCGTTTAGATCCTCCATGGTGAGTGAGCGTGTCGCAAAGGATGACGTCTGGTGGGTTCGAATGAGGATTAGGTCCCAGGAGAGGGATGAAGGTTTTCCATGATCTCACCAGCTCACAATATAAATAAAAGCCTGAAGTTATTTCAATCGTTTGCTATGCTATCAAGCAGATGTAGAACACTTGCCCCCTACATGTGGGGGATCCAGACCGCACTGAGGCTAGCACGTGATGCTACGGTTTCATGTGTCGCATTCTGGAATAGCTTCATTTCCTTGGCTATTATGAGGAAATATCAGTTCATTAAGCCGACTATTCAATTTATTGAGATTTGGGTTAGAATTTTTCTCAAAAGTAAGTGCTTTTAACATGGACTAAGCTAAGTCCGAAGTGTATGCAATGACGTTGATGTGAGAAAAATCACAGTCCGGAGACTTTCAACTAGTCTATACTATATTTTGATTTCTCATTAATCATGATTCCCAATTTTTCAATAATCACTCAAATATCTTGCAGCCCCCGGAAACTCTAAGAACTATTCACAGATATCGCCGTAGTTGCTTCAGCTAAGTGACCCCACAAACTCGGCAAATCCGGTGGTTATAAGGTCCAATGGAAAAGAAACACCTTTCAGATACTACTCCTCAATCCTCCTAGTGATGGACTTGTGTGAGCCATTGTACGGTCCCTAATAAAGCCCTGGTGAAGCCCGAAGTTTACCCAGCAGAGCCCTAAATGTCAGTTTCATCGGCAAGCGTGGGGATGTGTCTCTGCCGGTAAAGGTACATCTGTAAAAAAAACTCATGTACGAAGTAGCCATCTTCTACCTCTTGACAGTCTGCTCCGTAACCCAAAAGTCAAAGTCTTGAAGTCTCCATTCAATAGCCGAAAGAGATCATCAGTTCCTGGCCCTAAGCGGCAGAGACTTCACCTGTCGGATCTAGGCATGTCCATCACATCAAACCCCGCCGAAGCTAAACTACATGTACATCCCATTCGCCCATGATGGGAACAAGTATCCGGGGATCTCCTAGACTATTAGTTGTAAACAGGGCAAGATCGTTTCCCTTTCTGCTTTCGGCTAATGCACATCATGTCCCAATTAGGGACGTAATGGGTCGGAAATGTAATACCTCGTTACAGCTAGAACTATCTTGTCTTTTCTGGAAGGAGCAAAAAGGGGTAGCTCTACGGATGCAAGGCCCACGTACTCCATAAATTGCAGCCCATATCTACGGAGTATGTTCTTTTAAGCTAGTCCATCTAGTGTCTTTGAAAGCTCCGAATGACAGTTCTGTCACCCGCTAGACTCATGTTAAATCGTTTAAAGTTTAGTAAACGGCACGAATTGAGAAAAGCTTTATACCTTAGCGCCCAGGCTAATGAAAATTGACGGGCTGAAACTACCCGATAAAGTCCATTTATACGAGGTCGAAGATGATTCTGTCAGTGGGGCAACTTATAGCGGCAGTCTCCGTGCTTGGATCTCTAGCAACCCTGTCGAGTGTTCAGTAGAGGATGTATCTATGTATCAGAGATAGCAGTACGGAATCATACAAAGTTGTATGCATACAACCCCGGCTAAAAATAGCTCTTTGAATTAATTAAGGTGCAAGTGAAAATGGTATCATAGTGCAGTGCAAGATAAGTACATTGCCGTTGAATCTAAACAGTCTTTGGCTTTTTAGCGTAGAGCTACTGGGCAAGGCGGCAGATCCGCACAACGAATATGATCATCCCGAGCATCTGACAAAGCTTGACATCCTTTGTAGCTGCAAGCAACCAGCTGATTATCTTCGGTCGAAGGTATAGGCACCCCACAGCTCCCTCGCACATGTTTTCCCTCCCCGGAGATTGCCCCCTTGATGGAGTCTGCAGTCTCATACTCCACTGAAGTGGCTATTGCCCAATCTCCAGGAGGTGCTTCCACCTGGCTACCGGAGCACTCCGAGCTTGTGAATTTGACTCCCAAACACGGGTTAGGTCTGGGTCTTTGAAGACCTTGATTCCGCCTCCATTTCAATTTTCAAACATATTCAAGTGCGTAACTTGAGGCATCTGTAGTATAGAATCCGATATCAAATTCGTTAGGGAATTATTGCTGGTTCTTTGCAGGATAAAGAAAGCTAGAGTTGAGTCCAGTTCGCCGAAAGTTAATCCTCGAAACCGAAGGTTCTGTGATTCAAGCGGGGCCCCAACGAGTTTTCTAATATTCGCTTCTAGTCGATTTTTTGTCGAACTCTTCCTTCGTATATTCGATTATGCGTGGTGCTTCCATCCGACAATCCGGTAAAGACCCCGGGGACTATGGGTTTTGGGTGTCCCTTTAGCTTCTAGTGTACTAGGAACTGCTGTCACTAGGGATGATGATATGACCGGGTTGTTTCCCGAGGCCTTAGCGGAAATTGTCCGTGGAATACCCCCTTCTTCCATATGGCGATCTACTGGCACAGTAGAATTGTCTCAAAAGGAACGATCTCGATGTCATCCTCAATAAGATATGAAGGGTCGTTGATGGCTTCGACAAGCTTGTCAAGTTCTGCTAGCCATGCAAGGCTACATAGCGGCCCGATTATTTGAGGGTTTCCTATTTTTGATGAGATTGGCTGCTGAGCCCCCTAGACAAGAAAAACAAGAAAAAGAAACCTACTACGCTAGCCGTTCTCATCAAACCAGTCTTAGATATCTGCCGGGGTCTCATCTCCAGGGTATCCGTTGTGGAAGAGCCCGTGCTTCACAAGGCAAGGCTATGGTGATTGCGTGGCCACCCCCGAGTTATAACGGCATCGCCTTTGTAGTTAGAATCAGAAGTCTCCAGCTATTCGTGGCACCATGTATCGTATGTCTCTACCATTCTGGCGAGCAGATCGTATTCATCTAGCTTGAAACTAGCAACTGAGTAACATCGTAGTCATTTTAAAATAGGAAGCTACGTACAGGTATGTTATATAAGTCAACTTTATAGAAGGAGCAATCACCTACTGATTATCAAGTATATAGCAGTCACGTGGTAGGCAAATTAATATAGTTTAGGATCATGGACATCCAAAAGGGGCCTTTAGAATACAACAAAGGATGCTCGATAGGCCGATGATAAGGCCAATCAATTGACCCTTGCTATAGTTCCATCTACAACACGGAGTACGAAGTACATTGTATCCAATCCAGACCGAAGTTCAGATTGGGTTTATAAATATCATTAATCATTATACTCAATTTCCCCTATGAGTTTCCACAATAAGGTAAGAATCTGGGGATATAATGGCATTGTCAAGTACTCCGTGTAAAGTTGGACGGGAAAGAGGGAAGTCGGAACTCCGCTTTTTTTAACGGAACCCCTCGGGAAGACGAGCCGCGCGGTAGCGAATGGAAATCAAGTGGATCGCCCCTGACCATCAGGGCTCAGACTATTCCGTATGGGACACTTCGCACAATACCGATTATTGTCTCTCTGTACAACTTATGACTTCTGAGTTGTCATTTTCAAAAAAAAAAAAAAAAAAAAAGAAAATAAGTATGAAACCCAGAGTGGCCAGGCCCGTGCTTCCCGCGTTAGCTGGGATTGCGGTATAAATGGCCGGGGTTGGGGAGGGGGCTTAACGGTCCGGAGATGAGCCCCCTAAATACATGAGGGTTTCAACGTCATAGATGTTTCCTCCTTCGACATGTACCATGCAGATATGTACATGTATGTATTTATTTGACAAATACTAGTAAAGATCAGGCCTAGGATTACATATGCCGTACTCCCATGTCTAGGAAGTCCAAAATGAGGGGCCGATTACAATGTGAAACGGAGGCTTGACATAGGGATATATTACACATGTGAGAAGACCTTCCTCTTCTAGCTGATAGGTCTAGAAACACCTTGACCAAGCCAAGTGAATTCTCCGGGTTTCGGTGTTGTACTTTTCCATACAAAGGCGTATATGGAATTTTCCATGTGAAATGTTCAGAATTACTTCAAAATTACTCCCCTGAAACTGTATATTACCTTGAACACCCACAAAAAAATCATAAACTTAACATGCGCTTCAGATACGAGAATTAACGCGCGATAGTTGGCCCATTCACAGCCATACAACCTTAGAAGTCCGAAGTGGATTCGTCCGCACAGGGCAAGCCGTGCCTTTGTTTTTTTTTTTTTTGGAACGGTACGCTAGTCCGTGCATTTACGGCATCTCTCTTTTTTTTTCATCCTAGACCTATTATATTCCCTTATAAGGCATGGGCTGATCGATATCCGAGCTAGCGATCTATACACGTACCACCTGGTGGCGTCTCAGAACCAAAATTTACTTGATATTTTCATTCCTATTAATCCATTCCCTCAGGATATGATTCGTTCACTTGTAAAGTGGAATGATAGTCCCTGCTCTTGCATTCCGACTGGCTCAGTGCTCCGGGCCCATCCCCATACCTATTATGGTAATCGGTCTCAATTTATTGCCATACACAAAGGCTCTGCACTGCACACGGACAATAATTGGAGACATACGTGCATATATGACACTAGCTAGATTTTGGGAGCACGTTGAACTAGTATCTAATACTCTCATTCTGCATACTAAAGTACGAGTAGTGGATTGTACCTGATACCTCCCAAGCTTTATCGAGTCGAACTTTGCCAGGCCCCTTAGGACTCAAAATTATTAATGCCACATCTAGCCCGTCTAAAGAGCTCCGGTCAAAGCCCCATAATAAAAAATAATATCATATTATCTGACCTATTTTACCTATTTTTACTCTTAGAGCCTTTCATGTTAAAAAAAAATAAAAACATCAGAAGCAGATGTCACCTTTCCCCCTCTTTGTGAACTGAACTTCTCTCCCCTCCTTTCAATTCCTCCCCCTTTCAACCCTTAAAAGTCCCTGGATCTGGGGTGAAACTCCCGAAATGGGTCTATTCAAGCGCAAAGATTCAAAGAACTCAATTCAAACCGAGAAAGATGAGAACGATTCATTCACAGCCAACAGCGCTCGCACATCAAATACATCTCTGAGATCGCCAGGATACAAAGGAAGTGGTCCACCAGCCTCAATTCCCGAACTCCCTATCGCTAGACCACCAGACCCAGCATTGGACCCTGCCGCATACCTACGAAGCATCCATGCAGTGCGTGAACGCTCCAATATCGTCCTGGAAAAGGCCAAAAGGAACCAACTCAATCATTTCGATGTCGACATGAGCAAATTCGAAGCTACCGCCTCCTATGTCGTCTCCATCATTAAGGTAAAATAAAAAAACCCCATTGTCTTCTATCATATAATTGCGCTAACATGTTTCCCCCCTCAACAGCGAGATTATGCGCCAGACTATGAGAATATTCCCCCGCATGGTCGCTGGCAGCATTTCGACGTTGGCGGCAGACCGCGTATCAACCAGCTCCTCCAGTCCTGGCCGAGCCGCATTGATGCGCAGGAGCGCACCCGCCGTTTGATTGATTTGTTTGTTGTGTCCGTTCTGCTCGATGCTGGTGCCGGGAATAAATGGTCATACCGGTCGAAGGAGTCGGGTAAAGTCTTCTCGCGCAGTGAAGGCTTGGCAGTGGCGAGTTTGGAGATGTTCAAGTCTGGCCTTTTCAGTAGCGATCCTACGGAGCCGTGTCAGGTGGATGGTGCGGGGCTGAAAAAGGTGACGGCCGAGGTGCTTGCCAAGGGGATGCAACATTCCGAACAAAATCCACTGGCTGGTATTGAAGGCCGCACGGGGTTGTTGGTTCGGCTCTCTGATGCACTTAACAATCAAGACTTCTTCGGTGTGGATGCTAGACCGGGAAATATGCTAGGTAAGGCAAAATCTGGCTCTGTGTTTGCTTGAACAGCTACTAATCTTTATTTTCAGATTATCTTCTCGGTCATCCATCAACTCTTGCTTCTTCCGTACCTATTGTTCCGATTACCACTTTGTGGTCCGTGCTTATGGATGGCCTCTCTCCCATCTGGCCTCCGTCACGAACACAGATCGATGGAGTATCCATTGGAGATGCTTGGAAGTGTTCGAATCTTCCCCAGTCTCCTCCTGGACAGCAGTGGGAGAGCATTGTTCCATTCCACAAGCTGACACAATGGCTATGCTACTCGATCATGGTACCAATGTCGAAATTAATGCTCATCCACTTTGCCGGCAGCGACCTTCTAACAGGTCTTCCTGAATATCGAAATGGAGGCCTTCTTATCGACCTGGGACTCTTGAGTTTGAAACCGGACGATATGCAACGTGGAATCGATGCATATAAAGAGAATGCTCAGATTAAGGGTCAGCCAAATGTGGAAGTGGCACCGCTCTTCTGCGCCGACGACGATGTAATTGTCGAATGGCGAGCCGTTACTGTTGGATTCCTGGATGATCTCCTAGAGGAGGTCAACTCTCAACTGGGGCTTAAGGGCTCCGAAGACCAACTATCACTAGCACAAATGCTTGAGGCTGGCACTTGGAAGGTAAGCACTCAAACATTCTTCTGGCTAGGTCAGATCTAACAATGAATCTACAGGGTGGTCGCGAGATTGCGGAAGTTTCGAGACCTAACACCAAGGAACCCCCTATCATGATACGATCTGACGGCACTGTCTTCTAATACCCTATTTTCCCATTTTAATTGATGCTTGGATACCTGGATACCTTCGTCATCTGGTTTTGCTATTTGGGACGAGCTTTTTGATGAACTGAACTCTTCATGACCGAATACCTTCATACCTATATCTCATGTTTGGCTTTTTCTTTTTGTTCTTCTTTCTTCTTTCTTTCCCTGCCATTTTGGGCCATTTTCTCTTTTTTTTTCTCTTTCCCTCTGCATTTGAGGCTATTCATTTCATTCCCCATCGGTTTTGGGCGGCGGCTTACTTGATCCTGCATTTCATCTTTTTTCTTTCTTTTTCTTCTATTTTTCTCTGTCTATTCTATATGTTTCGCTTTTCCTGTTTATAAAAGCCATTTGACTATAGAAGGAAGATCTATGATTTTCGGGAGACCCATGGGATGTCGTCATCCCGTAACCTCGGCCCCTTTATCTCAAATAAAAACTCCACAGTGTGCCAACAAGTGATTGTGAGATCTTTTCTGAATAACTTGATAGAAAATACCAAAATACCTATAGGCAAATTGCTAGATTCATCCTTTGCCTATCTCATCCATCCTATCTCCAACGTAACTTTAAAATCACGTGTATAGGAATAACATTGTTCCGTCTCCGCATTAGAAGGCTGGAGCTCATGATTCACCTTTCCTTCTTATCTTATGCTCCCTCGCCCTCAATCCCATTGTCAAGGCAAAAAAAATGCTAATATTGGACTCCTAACCGGAAACCAATATCACTGCATCTGAGTGACCTTGTGAAGGCACTAAGTTGCCCTTCAGATCGACCCGAGTTGTCCCCGCAAGAGCGGGGCATTGAGCTCAACGGCAGCCCCAAGAACATCTGACAGGATGGATGCTCGGAAGAAGAAGAGAAAGGTCCTTTTGATGGGCAAGAGTGGATCGGGGAAGTCATCCATGCGCTCAATCATTTTCAGCAACTACGTCGCAAAGGATGTCCGGCGACTCGGTGCTACAATTGATGTGGAGCACAGCCACGTCAAGTTCATGGGTAATCTCACATTGAATCTGTGGGATTGTGGAGGGTAAGTAATGCATACTCGACTTCCAATCGGGGGGTCATTCCACTAACTCGAAGTTCCCCGTATCAGACAAGATGCCTTCAT